GGGGTCATCATTTTCACAACAGCCAGAGATGCTTGCCTGTTCTGGATCACTTCCTTTCCAAGTAGTTTTATTTACAGTTGATTACTTCCTTAAGATCAAGATACAGTCCTTACTGCCAGCATGACTCTAAGCTCATCATGCAAAAACTCACAGAAAATGAATTAGTAGGTATAGCAAAATCCCTGAAAATCTGCATAGCAAAATCTATAGTAGATCTGGTATAGAATATATTTAAGCTTTAATTAATATGGACCAAGAAGAGCACATTAAATTGGCCAATTTAGAATCACAGGGCTTCTATTAAGAATATGAGAAATTCAGATGTTGGAGCATGAGAACACTGCAATCTTCAAGCCCCCACAACCCAAATATACATCTGATGAATCCTGGAATATATAGATATATTTTTTAATAAAACTACCCACAGAGCACAGACAACCAAATATAGTTCTCCCCTTCCCCCCTCCTCCTGAAGAGATCTCATTGCATTCAAACTACTGGTTTTCAGTAAAACAAACAGGGTTTAGTTCAAGATGGCTGCCCTGGGTATTCTCCCCTCAGTTAATTCACTTCTTTCCGACTAGGAGGACGTCAGAGGCTGAGAGAAACAGGATGCCAATTTAAGTGACCGTGGAGCTGCTGCTGCTGTTTGTTAAGCCTCTCTGATGGAGTATTAGATTTGTTTTGGCACTGCACTTCAGAAGACTCTAAAGGGCATACAATAATCTAAACCACAGACTGTCAAACTCTGGTTAGGCTGAGTTTCTCTCCAGTCCTGGAACAAGTATGACTCACCAACAAACAGCACATATACTCAAATGAATCTTAAGCACAGCGCTGGCAATGCATGTACGGTAGACAGTTCTTTTCAAGGGTTTGAGGCTTTATCTTTCTACTCGATGTCTGTGCAAATGAACTGGTCTCTTCACTTGCAAAATACATGTACAAGTACATCACCTGCCTATTTTTCCAAAGACCTACCAACTACACAACATAGTGTAATAGTGATGGCTCTAAGTAAGGTATTCCACTATTGTTTGTATCAAGTGGAAATCTCCAAAATCAGTCTCTGCAACTGAGCCACTAATGTTGGGGTGACAATACACGCTGTGACACTGAACATCTTTCCTTCATGCCCGTGGCTGTCATCTAATTCTGCACTTAAAGAATGAATTGGCTGAAACATCCCTTACAGGAGAAAAGAAATTTGGCAGTAGGAAGTAATTATTAAATGTGCAACCTTCTCTTATATTTGTTATTAGCGCTGTGCTTTTAACACTGTGGTCAGAGATGTAAAGAAAACCCTGTGAATTTGCCATGAAAAACAAAACTAGGAAAACTTTGAAATATAATACTCCATTTTAGATATTGCAAAATATAAACTTGGTTACAGCTCGGGAACACTAAAACCTCCTCAAATCTTAAATATTTTATTTGCTATTAACTTCCTGAAAATAACTAAGAGTACATAAAAATGATGCTAGCAGCTACTTAATTCTAATTGAAAACATAATTCTTTGTTTCCTAGTGAGTCAAGACAGCAGTGTCCCCAAGAGACATTTTATTATACAATATAGTCTTCTTGTTTTGTAAAAAAATCCCAACACATTATTTTAATTGCTTCACACAATACTAAAAAAGGATAGACACTTGCAAACAAGAGCCAGACTTAAATGATACTGACATTTCCTTGAGAGGGCTTGGAGGGGAGGAAAAAGACAAGTAATTTAGATTTTCATCTTCTAACCATTCTGAAGTTGCTGGTTGTCAGAAACTGTAACATCAACATAAAGCTGAAAGTATATCTTTTGCCACCTACTCATCAGGCTTTTCTGCACAAACTACTTTAATACCCAGGCAGCTCTTTTCTTATTTTGAAGAGGGTTTCCCAGTTTTCACTTGCCCCCTTTCCTCACAACCACTTTTGCTGATATTATGATAAGAGACCTATTTGCTAATCCTGCTAGGCAGTTCTCCTGAAAGTATGTACTCTCTTGCTTCCCAGAGGTATATCATGCTTTCTAGGTTATCAAGTGAGTGAAGAAACTTAAAAGCACAAGTTTGGAAATAACAGCACATGGACTGCCAGTCCTCATTAAATCTGAGATCTATTACAGGCCACAATGGTGGTTATGTTCTCATTCACCTTTCCATAAAAGCTACATGTCAGAACTCATTCAATATATTCTTGAAGAGTTCTAACATACAGGTTTATAACTAAAACAGTGCTATAAATGACTAGAAAATATAATACAAAGATGACAAAGTACAAGCAATTTGCTGAAATTATTAGATAATATTTGGTTGTCACTGGGTGAAAGAAAATGCCACAGTCTCAGTATTGGCATCAAATATTCATTAGAATAACTATGTAATACACAATTCACATGTACACAGGTTTTTTCCTAGCTGAATTTATGATAAATGTAGTACCCATGAAAAAGTTGCATTTTAAACAAAATTCCCTTTACAAGGACAGTACTAATATAAAGAAGTCCAGAAGAATGCTATTCAGGGAAGGTTTAATTTGCATTTGGCTACCCAGTGAGGCATACACTGCCAGATTTCTATCATATGCTAATAAAACAATATTCAACATCCAAGATTTTCAAGAATCAAAAGTACTTCAGAAGCAAGGTTACGCAAGTTTAACTTCTAAATAAAGAATTTAAGTACGAGATAACTTCAGATGTCCAAAAAAGTAGTATCTGAAAATTGAAAGTTATTTTTAAAGTTACTCAATTCACACTAAATCACTATGCTGAATCAGTTACATAGACACCTTACAGAAACAGAAATCAAAAGCTAATTATTTTTATGAAAAGAAAGTTTGGATAAGTTTTCACAGAAGAGAAGAGTGTATTCAATGTGGTGCTAAAATAAACGGTACTGCCAGAGACGGGAATTACTTTCTTCCTTGTTAATTAACATGTTTAGAAGAAAACATCTAATCAAAAGATGACAAATATAAATAGACACTGCTATGAGTATTGCTCTTGGAATTACTTTTGTGGTTTTATAAAGTTATTAATAGTGTTGCTGTGAAAAGTAACCATACTTAGTTGGCATTTATGAAAGTTTCCTAAAGCTCACTCTATTATGGTATTATGTATAACTGGAGAGCTGAGCCATCTGTACTGTTAGTCTGTCGAACCATAAACTTTGTTACTGTTAGCCTAATTTATTCTCCTCTCCTTTATTTGTTGAATGTATTTTAGGATTATAATCCAAACATGTCCAGTCTTCCAAATTGGAACCAAATGGCTATGTATTTGTGGGAAAGTGAAGCTTAACAAGAAGTTGGTAAGTAGCTCAAGCACATCAGATCAGAAAATAATGTTGAAACACATTCAGAAAAAGCACTAAAAACAAACAGTGGTACACAGTAAGCAGACTGGCTCCTCACACGTAAGTAGGTGTTGCTAAGAACAACTGCTGGAAGACCTCCACTTGATAGCAAAGTTGTACGATGGTAAATAATCTAACAAAAATAGAATTGGAAGATGTCTGGACTCCTTTTCATTCTCTCTCAACTTTAATGCACCCACTTATTAATATTTCACTTGGTAAAGACTTTCCTACCTGGACTGCAAAAGGTTCTTTCACATACTGCAATTTCAAAAAGGCAATCAATTTTGAATTACTCCCACTGTACAGCAAACCCAAGTATGGTTCTGTTAGCAGACATTATTCATATAAAGAGTCATAATAAGATTCAAGTTGTTATTCTCACTAAACAATTGTTTCGAACTATGACACAATTATGTAAAAGGCTCTAAATGTATTGCTGTAGGTATATAAAAAGTAAAAATAATATTGTTATAGCATCTCCAATAAATACTCAAAACATGATTACTATGATTTCTATGGAAGATGAGTTTGATTTATGCCATATTTTGTATGTTCACTGTTAGTTTAGTTTTATAATGCATTTCATTCATGTCAAGCTATGTTTATTATAAAAATGATCTCCGGTTATTTAGATGGACTAGAGGGACAGCATTTTCCCCTTTAACAGGCATTACTTAACATCTTTCTGTCATAGCATGGACATGTCAACATGTATGTAATACAGCAAAAATGGCTCTGCATCAAATATTAACTGCTTTTGAATCAACATAAAGAGCTTTTGGGGGCAAAGTCTGCCTCTAACTACATTTCCACAAAACTGACATTCAGTACTATTTTAATACACAGAATTGTATTTCCCTATTACATGCTTAAAGGAGACTCCATTTCTCTCTTCTGGGCAGACAGAGTCACTGTTCTGTTCCTCCTCAGTTTGCTGCCCTCTACCATTCTCTTCCCCAGTCATGTTTTGGCTTCATGCACATTTCCCCTCCAAGGTCAGCTATATCTACCTTCAACTGCACCATTTCCTATTTTCCTCACTGACTTTAATTATCCTTCCTTGCAGCTTCTTCTACTTTCCTGCATTTTGAGCTCACTTTACTCTCCAAATTCTGCTCAATATACACACCTAGTGTCTCCTTCCCATCCTCTTTGTCCTTTCATGGGTATTTACAAGTCTCCAATATTTTAGAATAACATAGAATTGTATATGCATAATTTCCTCTAAAATAAAATTTCTTTTGCTTGTGCTACAGGCATTTATCCAACAGGAAGCACTACGAGAATATGTTGATTTTTAAAGTCAACAAGCTTAGAAATATCTCTGTGATAGCTTTCACCCCAAACTAATTCTTACAGGTAGAGTTTTCAAAAAATAAAAGTCTTCCCATTAAGGTCTACTACATGAAAAAAGTCTACATAAGATTAAGTTGACGTTTCAGCCACAAGAACTCACACATTTATAGAACGTTTCTTACTGAGAACAAAAAAAAAAATGTACATTTTATGTTATGCATCTCCAAAAACATCATGAACACAAGTGCTGTGCTATTTACTTATTTGGATTAAGTATCTTTAGACAAGTCTACTGAATTACAAAAAAAAATGAAAAAACTATACAAAAGTATATATAGTATATATAACCTTACTTTTTCATCATCATCAGAGAAAGGGGCACCTCCTGGAGTTTTATTTATTGCTTGGGCAACACCAATAATCTCTCCATCACTGTTTCTTATGGGCATGCACAAGAGTGACTTTGTCTTGTATCCAGTCAGTTTGTCAATCTCATCATTAAAGCGTCGATCCTGCAAAAGAAAATAAAGAAACATTAACACACATTTCATATATCTAAGCTTTCTTCAGGCAGCAAAATTATTTCTCAGTGTCTGATGTAGTATTTTTCAGTAGTATTATGCTGTTGTTTCTCTATTATTACTACCCCCTTCTTTATTAGCTGTTTTTCCTCACTCAGAAAATCAGTACAAGGTTTACCATTACATAATTGCATTCACTGAAGTCCCACATTTATGTTTCAATTAGAAGAATGATATAACTAAAGAATTACTACCAAAGCAGCTACCAGGAGAACATGGAAAATGAAGATAAATGTATGAGGAACATAAATATGAGAAAAGCGAATCTGCATAACACGCTATGGACCTTGACAAAGCACAAACTCCTTACAGACACACACAATTCAGCACCACATCTGTGCCACACAACATCCTTGTCTCTATATGGGAGGCACGTGGATTTGACAGATAGACCACTCAGGGGATAACAAATTGGCTGGATAGTCACACTCAAATAGTTGCAGTCAACAGCTAAATATCCAAGGAGACCAGTGACAAATGACATTGCTCAGAAGTTGATATTTGGACTGGAGCTGTAACATCTTCATCAGGAATGTGGTCAGTGGGATTGAGAGGACCCTCAGCATGTTAGCTGAGGACACCAAGCTGTGTGGTGAAGTTGACACACTGGAGGGAAGGAATGCCATCCAGAGGGACTGTGACAGGCTTGAGAGGTGGGTCATAGTCCTTGGTCCTGGCCACAGATGGTCAGAGTCACTTTGCCCACAGCTTTCACATATTTTAACTATCAGCATAAGCAAACTACCAGCAGCTAAAGTGGTCATCCAGTACCTGCTTACCATGTGGCTGCAGGTAGTGTTCAGTTTCTTCAACCTTAACCAATACTGCTTGCTTTACTATCTCTATATTACTGCCAATAAACTTTCCTACCAGTCAAGCTGTGGGTAACCACACGGCCTTGCAGGCACTGGTGAGGTCCCGGAGCTCCTCTGTGCACACACTGTCACCCTCCAAGGCACTGAAAGAGCTGTCTGCAGTTCACCAGATGTATTTTCACAGAGTGTGTGAAGCATGCCCATGCTGGGGTTTGTACAAAAGGATAACAAGCTGTAAGGAATGCTGTGCTACCTTAATGGAGAACGCAGTGGAGGAGAATGAGCAGGTCTGGTATGTACTAATTTCTAGATTATCCCTGGCTGGGAAGTCACCAGGGATATATTATGTTATACAATCTTATAACTAGTACATGAGAAATACCAGGAAGAATCAATTTCAGACAGAAGTGCTTTATGAAGTTGTGATGCTTTAAATTTATGTTTGTGAAGTCACTATACTAACACTACCTAAAGATGAAAGATTTTGTGAAGACTGTCTCACAATATTAACATTCAACAAAACCACTGTTGAGTAGGCTGAAATGGTATGGGCAAATATCTGGGTAGTCAGTAAGTTCCTAAAATGTAGTATACATGAACTAGAGTATTTTTTCATTAATCTGCAGTGCTCTAAGGGGCAAATGTACCACAACTCTCATTAATGATAACAGAACAGAGCAATTGAATCCCCACAACAGATGTTTACCCTTAAGCTTTACATGACAAGTAGCAATCATTTATTCAAGAATTTTTCAAGTATAACTTCTTGTAGTGTTGGTTATTTTCAAATTCTGCTGGTCAGGAATTTCATCTAGCATAATCAACAGGGTTTTTTATTATTACTTAACATGTTTTAGGCATGATTATTTCATATGCTTATGCATTCACTTATATTTAGGTTTTTTGAGCAGTGTTAATGCATAATTAACTAAAAAGATTTTGATTTATTTTAATTAGTTCTTATATAAAGTCTCTAAATCATGTCTGAATAAGCTTGCAATGTAATCCTATTTATCATAAAGCATGCACTTGCTCAAAAAAATACAGAATGTGTACTGTGAGCATAGGACCCCTCTTACAATAGAATGACAGAAATCAATCTTGTACAACCAAATACTGAAAATATTGATCATGTATGCTGAAGAATAAATATACTAATTAAAAGATTCTCTTTGAAGTAACATCAGCGAGTATTTTGTTATTTGTTTTCTAAGGCAATTAATGTGCCTGAGGTTACACATTTATTGAGGAATGTACATAAGAAATAAATACTTGCATCACAGTCAAAGATGACTTCACTTGTCAACGCAATCTAAATCATAAATAAAACTAGAATTGCTTCATACTCCTTGTCATTCCTTCTCTGTGGGGCCACAGTGCTGCACAGAGTATATTTCTACACCCAAAACTACAGAATTATTAAAGTCTTAGTCATAGTACTGCAAACCCCAATGCATTAAAAAAATTACTTAAATTTCATTTAGACATTTCTTTCCTCAGATCTGAAACACGGTTTAAGGACAACTGCCATAACACATTTCACACTAAAGCACTAAAGGTAGCATCCTATGTCTTGGTGAGAACAGATACTTGTAGAATTTCCTAAGGCAATACAATGTAAAAATACTATAAATTACCATTTTCAAAAACAAATTTATATTGCATAAAATATGCACAGGGTGACAATATTACATCTTGAGATCAAATTACATTTGGTCACGGCTTAAGAAATAATGCCATCACTTTATAGAACACTGGTGAATAACACCCAGTGAAGACTGGTATGGTCATGCACAAACACTTATGCTAGGCCATGCTGCCACTTCACATCCATATTCTGTAGATGCTCACAATTTTTCTGTCAAGTAAATGGAGACTATTTTTGGCCCTATTTCTGTCTGTTGCACTTCAAATAAGATTGGTTATGTGGACTAGTATTCCAGCGCAGTACAAACACTTAAAAAAAATACAACAGAAACCTCAGGTTTTCTGGAAAACAAAGTACAGGAATGTCTCTTCAAAAAAAAACACTGTGCAGCAATCCATTCTCTTGAACTGTAAGACTCAAACTGCAGATCATAAAGTAACTCAAAGGAGGCTAAAAAGTTGAAAAGAGAGATTGCTAACAGCACTTTTGTTCATCTTGCTAGAGAATGCTCTTCAACAGCTCTTCTACAATCCAGAAAGGGAAATAATGCTGTTTACTGGCAGAAGCTCTGCTGCTCCAGGGTGAAGTGAGCATTTACGCTACAGACAACAGTTACAGCCAGTTCAGACCCCCCGAGGGAACTGAGCTGTTGTACGAAATTAAGTGCAACTTTGGTTTTCAAAAGTTTAGAAAACATTGGCTGTGAATTAATACCCATATTTGTCTCAAGTGATGAAAACAATCCATAGTCTTTAATCTTAGCGTTGATTGTGATGAGGAAGAGACTTCATTAAATTTTTAATGATGCTAAAAACTGACAAAGTTTTTTTCCTGACAATTTTATATCTATTTTTATTTCCATTGTAAATTCCAGATGGTATAGAAATAGACTGTTCTAGTCACCTTAAGATGTAATTTAGAAGTGCTCTACACTCATCCATCATAAAAATTAACATACATTTAGCTACTTTATTACTTATTGCACATTTTCATACATTTCAACCACAAGGAATTAATACCAACCATGGTATTTATAAACAGTTTATGGCCCTCTTCTGCCAGAGAATATCAAGTTCTTGGTTCTTTTTTTATCATGCTATTTTATTTTGTTCTGTTTCAATTCTACAACTTCATTAGGAGTCGTTCCTCCTTAGACTTATTGCTGCCTCTGGAGTGTCTTAAACAGTCTTTGCTTCCATAAAGACCAGATTAATAATATACAGTCTTTGATAAGATTCTTTTGAACTATTTGTACCTAACAACTTCTTTAGGAGATCCAGAGCCCCTATTGATGAATGTTTTTTAATAACAGCATCAAGGACCCAGATCTGTGTGATCTTTCCACAGGCTTTTAAACACTTATATCAACTTTAACAGAAGCTGAACTGTTCTGCAGAGTAGAGAATCCTGCCTAGAAAGACATGGTTCTTCTACAACAGAAGAAAGGGAAATGCAGTGCAATTATCACACAGTAGGCTTCACTAATTAATAAATTAAATATTATTTCTTCAACTACTTGTTGGTAATGTCTGAACTACTATTTAGAATTAGCTATTGTTGCTGAAATATTGATAATATGCTTTATGCTATTGAAGAAACAGTTCCTGCTCTACTAATTTTGTTGCAAGCAAAACAAAGTACATGGAGAGAACACTGAAACTACAGAATGCCTTGAGCAATAATGCTGTTGTTGATTTACATCTGATCCGTCTTATAAAAAAGTAAACCTTGGACAGGGAGTTTAACTGAAAAAAGACCACGAGTTGTGATTTTCTTATCTGAATACACTCCATTAAGTGATACAAGTGGCATATGTAGCCATTGCCTTTTCAACAGGCCTCAAGATTAACCTAAGAAGTGCTGTTTGATCTGCAGTGCACAGTGGCACACGGGACAGGGGCTTGTGAACCTGTCCAAATTAGATATATACAGTACAGGTGCCAGTGTCAGCAACAGATTTAATGATGAGCTATCAAGCCTGTGTTCCTTAACAGATGCTACAGAGCAGCAGACACAGGAGGGATTAGCAGTCTGAAAAGTGCTGGTGTTTTCTTTAATGTACAGCTCATTCCTGCTCTATTGCTTCTCCTTTCAAGTAGACTCTGGAAGTTTGTATCTCCCCCTGGGACCTCCATACCAGGAGATAGCAAGCACAGAGCACCCTGAAGCAGACAGCCTTAGTCCCAGAAGGGTGCCGTTCCAGAGATGCACCAACAGGTTTTGGTCTTCCCTACCATCTGATATCAGATTATCCACTTATGCTGGAGAACTGGATTACCTTTTGCAGAAAGGTATTACATCTTCAGAGCAGAAACTAATGGTACAGTAGTATAAGAAAGTTAATGCAGTTAATTGGAAAAAAATGAGAATCATCAAGTGAAACTATCCCTAATCTTTTGTAGAAAAGTAAGCAGGAATTTAATTTTGGTGACATTTGGGAAAGTGATGAGGAGAGATAAAAGCAAATA